AACAGAACACCACTGACTAAGTCAACAGAACACCAGTGACTAAATCAACAGAACACCAGTGACTAAGTCAACAGAACACCAGTGACTAAGTCAACAGAACACCAGTGACTAAATCAACAGAACACCAGTGACTAAGTCAACAGAACACCGGTGACTAAGTCTTGTTTGTCTCTACCCAGCGCCACCTGGCACAAAGTCATCGGGTTGGAGGAGTGGGAGGTTGGCAACCTGCAGATTGAGCCCGGCACCCACCGGCTCTACACCATGCACACCGTGTACTTTGGCTGCTACATCTACGGCCTGGCGCGCTTCTACAGCTACATGAACCCTGCAGGCTACATCGCTGAAGGCATCAATCAGGTTGGTCTTTTTATTGGAGGCAGGTTGGTCTTATTGTTGGGGGCAGGTTGGTCTTATTGTTGGAGGCAGGTTGGTCTTCTTGTTGGAGACAGTTTGGTCTAGGTGCTATTTGGGTCTAACTGTTGTAGGCAGGTTGGTCTAATTTTTGGAGGCAGTTTGGTCTAACTGTTGGAGGCAGTTTGGTCTAGGTGCTATTAGGGTCTAATTGTTGGAGGCAGGTTGGTCTAGGTGCTATTTGGTTTTAATTGTTGGATGCAGTTTGGTCTAGGTGCTATTTGGTTTTAATTGTTGGAGGCAGGTTGGTTTAGGTGCTATTTGGTTTTAATTGTTGGAGGCAGGTTGGTCTGGTGCTAATGTTTGGATTGAAAAAAGTCATTTCTGGTACAACATCTTGACATGTTTCAGCAAGTCAATTTTACACCGTTGAACCCTATAGAGTCCAGGTTACTAACGTGTGTTCTTGTCCTGTTTTAGCTGTGTATCCCTGAGATAACGTGTGTTCTTGTCCTGTTTTAGCTGTGTATCCCTGAGATAACGTGTGTTCTTGTCAGGTTTTAGCTGTGTATCCCTGAGATAACGTGTGTTCTTGTCCTGTTTTAGCTGTGTATCCCTGAGATAACGTGTGTTCTCGTCCTGTTTTAGCTGTGTATCCCTGAGATAACGTGTGTTCTTGTCCTGTTTTAGCTGTGTATCCCTGAGATAACGTGTGTTCTTGTCCTGTTTTAGCTGTGTATCCCTGAGATAACGTGTGTTCTTGTCCTGTTTTAGCTGTGTATCCCTGAGATAACGTGTGTTCTTGTCCTGTTTTAGCTGTGTATCCCTGAGATAACGTGTGTTCTTGTCCTGTTTTAGCTGTGTATCCCTGAGATAACGTGTGTTCTCGTCCTGTTTTAGCTGTGTATCCCTGAGATAACGTGTGTTCTTGTCCTGTTTTAGCTGTGTATCCCTGAGATAACGTGTGTTCTTGTCCTGTTTTAGCTGTGTATCCCTGAGATAACGTGTGTTCTTGTCCTGTTTTAGCTGTGTATCCCTGAGATAACGTGTGTTCTCGTCCTGTTTTAGCTGTGTATCCCTGAGATAACGTGTGTTCTTGTCCTGTTTTAGCTGTGTATCCCTGAGATAACGTGTGTTCTTGTCCTGTTTTAGCTGTGTATCCCTGAGATAACGTGTGTTCTTGTCCTGTTTTAGCTGTGTATCCCTGAGATAACGTGTGTTCTCGTCCTGTTTTAGCTGTGTATCCCTGAGATAACGTGTGTTCTTGTCCTGTTTTAGCTGTGTATCCCTGAGATAACGTGTGTTCTTGTCCTGTTTTAGCTGTGTATCCCTGAGATAACGTGTGTTCTTGTCCTGTTTTAGCTGTGTATCCCTGAGATAACGTGTGTTCTTGTCCTGTTTTAGCTGTGTATCCCTGAGATAACGTGTGTTCTCGTCCTGTTTTAGCTGTGTATCCCTGAGATAACGTGTGTTCTTGTCCTGTTTTAGCTGTGTATCCCTGAGATAACGTGTGTTCTTGTCCTGTTTTAGCTGTGTATCCCTGAGATAACGTGTGTTCTTGTCCTGTTTTAGCTGTGTATCCCTGAGATAACGTGTGTTCTCGTCCTGTTTTAGCTGTGTATCCCTGAGATAACGTGTGTTCTTGTCCTGTTTTAGCTGTGTATCCCTGAGATAACGTGTGTTCTTGTCCTGTTTTAGCTGTGTATCCCTGAGATAACGTGTGTTCTTGTCCTGTTTTAGCTGTGTATCCCTGAGATAACGTGTGTTCTTGTCCTGTTTTAGCTGTGTATCCCTGAGATAACGTGTGTTCTTGTCCTGTTTTAGCTGTGTATCCCTGAGATAACGTGTGTTCTTGTCCTGTTTTAGCTGTGTATCCCTGAGATAACGTGTGTTCTTGTCCTGTTTTAGCTGTGTATCCCCGAGATAACGTGTGTTCTTGTCCTGTTTTAGCTGTGTATCCCTGAGATAACGTGTGTTCTTGTCCTGTTTTAGCTGTGTAAGTAAGTAAAAGTTTCCCTTTCAAACCTTACGGTCTATGGGGCAAGTGAAGTAGAGTTCACTTGTTTCTGTGACCTCGGCATATGAAGAGATAGTGTGGTCAGCACTATGCCCAGCCGCCTTTACTTTCCCTAACGAGAGTTAGGTACCCATCAGAGTTGGGTGGACTCAGGGACGTTCTACTGACTTGAACCCGGATTCGAACTCGAGACTTTCGGGTTAGCAGTCCAGCTCTCTACCGCTAGACCACTCCGTCCCACGTTTTAGCTGTGTATCCCTGAGATAACGTGTGTTCTTGTCCTGTTTTAGCTGTGTATCCCTGAGATAACGTGTGTTCTTGTCCTGTTTTAGCTGTGTATCCCCGAGATAACTCTCATGCAGCCCGGTGATCATTTAGATAACGACTGCGATGGCAAAATCGACGAGGAGACAGCGAACGAAAGAGGTGAGTCAACATCGCGGTCCGCTGACGTCATACAGAGACAAGCGAGTGGTCCGCTGACGTCATACAGAGACAAGCGAGTGGTCCGCTGACGTCATATAGAGACAAGCGAGTGCTCCGCTGACGTCATGTAGAGACAAGCGAGTGGTCCGCTGACGTCATACAGAGACAAGCGAGTGGTCCGCTGACGTCATACAGAGACAAGCGAGAGGTCCGCTGACGTCATATAGAGACAAGCGAGTGGTCCGATGACGTCATATAGAGACAAAAGAGTGGTCCGCTGACGTCATATAGCGACAAGCGAGTGGTCCGCTGACGTCATATAGAGACAAGCGAGTGCTCCGCTGACGTCATGTAGAGACAAGCGAGTGGTCCGCTGACGTCATATAGAGACAAGCGAGTGGTCCGCTGACGTTATATAGAGACAAGCGAGTGGTTCGCCGACGTCATATAGAGACCAGCGAGTATCCGCTGACGTCTTATAGTGATTTACTGACGTCACATAAATAAACTGCGTGTCTGTTCTCTTCAGTGACGGATGCCAAAGAGAAAATTATAAAACCACTAAAGAGATTTCATTCTTCTTAAGCTAATAGCTGCCATGTTGTTTTTTTTTTTTTAAGATGATGATAACGACAACGTAGTCGATGAAGATCTCGTCTTCGGGAATCAGAGTATGTATGTACGTGTGTATGTAGGTGTGAGCGTGATTGGGGAATCTGTGTGCATGCATATGTGAACGTGAGTCTCTGTGTGTGTTTGTGTGTTTGTGTGTGTGTCTCTGTGTGTGTGTGTGTCTCTGTGTGTGTGTGTGTGTCTGTGTGTGTGTGTGTGTGTGTGTGTGTGTGCGTGTGAATAATGACTGGTTCTTTTAACAAAATGGCGTAACAGGAATCGGCCATGGGGAGGAAATGGGTGGTTAGAAATAATTATTTACATGTACCCACACAAAACCACACACACACACACACACAAGAGAATACCGCGTCGGCGTGGTCGAGTCGGTAAAGTTCCTGGTTGCTAAACCGAAAAGTCTCAAGTTCGAACTCTCGGGCAGATGAGGCTTGATAGCTGGGGACAGCCACTCTTCTAGGAGAGACAACCCCAAAATCAAACAACTGCTGCCTTGTAGTTTGTTCTTAGCTGGGCAAAGGCTATGGAACCAAATCCAAAAAGAAAAGCAGGTTGAAATCGGAGTCAATGGCCTCAACGGCGCATAACCAGTTGACACGTATACTTAATTGTGTTGGAGGGGGATCCCTTCCAACACTAAAATAAAGACGAAGAAGAAGACTGTCTCCCTTAGCTCTAAGTAAACGGAAGACAACTTTTATCATATGGGGCCATGGGTGGTGGTGGTGATGGTGGTGCTAGTGTGTGTGTGTGGGGGGGGGGGGGGTGGGGTGAGTGCTATTTATAAATCTCTCTAACACCCATCCCTACCTACGCCACCGATGTCATCTGTTTATAACAAAGTCAAGACACCCAACTCCCCCCCCCCCCCCCCCATACCATCCGAGCGTCAACTTTTATAAATTTTTTTCCATTTTTTTTTATAACTCTCTTTTGATTTGAATCCTTGAAGTCGCTGGTCATTGGGGGCAGTGGTCGGAGTGGGTCTGCCATTATCAGTGCTACATACACACCGAGAAACGTGTGAGGTAGGTCAAGTTTTTTAACTGCATGCCTGTACGTTCGTACATGAGTTAACCAATGGAATAACCAACCAGGGAAAATTATGTGACACTCAAGAATACAGCACGGACTGAGACATATACTTACACAAAGTTCATATACATCTACACTCACAAATGTATATATATATATATATATATATATATATATATATATATATATATATATATATATATATATATATATATCCCATATATTATAATATGAGCAGAACATTATCCACGTCCAGAGGCCATTACCTCAGAGTAATTACCACCCCCCCCCCCCCCCCCTTAAAACAATTAAATTAAAAATAAACTTTAGACCCAGCAATTCTTTGGGCAGATGAAGTACAGTTAAATGTTGCAGAAGGGAAATAACAGTGTGGGGACGGTTATGGCTGATGGGTAATTGACAGGGAGATAATGTCCTAGACACTTGGAAGACTCGTAGAATAAACATTTTTGCAACTAGTGCGTTCAAACAAATCCTAATTAAATACACTCCTCTTTAGTATTTATTCTAAATTGGAGATTAGGGTGTTAAAATCCATTTTCAATCATAAAATAAAAATCACAGGCTGATTATATTATGAGTTGAAATATTATGCCTAATAATAATATTAGGCCTATTTGACGGTGCACCAGTTCATAGACAAGTAAAGATTCGCGTGTTGAGAGGTTGCTTTCGGCCGAAGAAGTGAGGGTGTCACCCCTCCCCCCCTTCAACAATTTTGATTTTTCGATTTGGTGTCACGCTTAGTATTGTATACATTTAGCTGGGTACAACCTAGCGTTGGCAGTTAATATTACGAAATGTTGTCATATGGTGCGGGCCGTACCCCTTGTCAGCCTTGTGTCTCTACTGATTTCGTTTATCTGTCAAGATGAACGTGCCCCCCCCCCCCTATATAATTGAAAGTTCTGTGACAAAAACCTCCCCCCCTCCCCTATAATTTCATGTTCTGTAACAACCCCCCTACTAAAATTTCAGGTTCTGTAACAACCCCCGACTCCCCTATAATTTCAGGTTCTGTAAACCCCCCCCCCCCCTCCCTTATAATCTCAGGTTCTGTAACAACCCCCACCCTCATATAATATTAGGTTCACACCCCCCCCCCCGTATATGTTCACATTCTGTGCAAACGCACCCTCCCACCCCCATATAATTTCAGGTTCTGTGACGACCCAGCCCCAGCGAACGACGGTGCCGAGTGTGTGGGGAACAGCGAGGACTTCAAGAACAGCACGTGTGGCCAGAATCTTGTCTGTCCACTAGGTTTGTCTGTCCACTAGGTTTGTCTGTCCACTAGGTTTGTCTGACCACTAGGTTTGTCTGTCCACTAGGTTTATCTGTCCACTAGGTTAGTCTGTCCACTAGGTTTGTCTGTCCACTAGGTTTGTCTGTCCACTAGGTTTGTCTGTCCACTAGGTTAGTCTGTCCACTAGGTTTGTCTGTCCACTAGGTTTGTCTCTCCACTAGGTTTGTCTGTCCACTAGGTATGTCTGTCCACTAGGTTTGTCTGTCCACTAGGTTTGTCTGTCCACTAGGTTTGTCTGACCACTAGGTTTGTCTGTCCACTAGGTTTATCTGTCCACTAGGTTAGTCTGTCCACTAGGTTTGTCTGTCCACTAGGTTTGTCTGTCCACTAGGTTTGTCTGTCCACTAGGTTTGTCTGTCCACTAGGTTAGTCTGTCCACTAGGTTTGTCTGTCCACTAGGTTTGTCTCTCCACTAGGTTTGTCTGTCCACTAGGTTTGTCTGTCCACTAGGTTTGTCATTCCACTAGGTTTGTCTGACCACTAGGTTTGTCTGACCACTAGGTTTGTCTGTCCACTAGGTTTGTCTGTCCACTAGGTTTGTCTCTCCACTAGGTTTGTCTGTCCACTAGGTTTGTCTGTCCACTAGGTTTGTCTGACCACTAGGTTTGTCTGTCCACTAGGTTTATCTGTCCACTAGGTTAGTCTGTCCACTAGGTTTGTCTGTCCACTAGGTTTGTCTGTCCACTAGGTTTGTCTGTCCACTAGGTTTGTCTGTCCACTAGGTTAGTCTGTCCACTAGGTTTGTCTGTCCACTAGGTTTGTCTCTCCACTAGGTTTGTCTGTCCACTAGGTATGTCTGTCCACTAGGTTTGTCTGTCCACTAGGTTTGTCTGTCCACTAGGTTTGTCTGACCACTAGGTTTGTCTGTCCACTAGGTTTATCTGTCCACTAGGTTAGTCTGTCCACTAGGTTTGTCTGTCCACTAGGTTTGTCTGTCCACTAGGTTTGTCTGTCCACTAGGTTTGTCTGTCCACTAGGTTAGTCTGTCCACTAGGTTTGTCTGTCCACTAGGTTTGTCTCTCCACTAGGTTTGTCTGTCCACTAGGTTTGTCTGTCCACTAGGTTTGTCATTCCATTAGGTTTGTCTGACCACTAGGTTTGTCTGACCACTAGGTTTGTCTGTCCACTAGGTTTGTCTGTCCACTAGGTTTGTCTCTCCACTAGGTTTGTCTGTCCACTAGGTTTGTCTGTCCACTAGGTTTGTCTGACCACTAGGTTTGTCTGTCCACTAAGTTTGTCTGTCCACTAGGTTTGTCTGTCTACTAGGTTTGTCTGACCACTAGGTTTGTCTGTCCACTAGGTTTGTCTGTCCACTAGGTTTGTCCACTAGGTTTGTCTGACCACAAGGTTTGTCTGTCCACTAGGTTTGTCCATTAGGTTTGTCTGTCCACTAGGTTTGTCTGACCACTAGGTTTGTCTGTCCACTAGGTTTGTCTGTCCACTAGGTTTGTCTGACCACTAGGTTTGTCTGTCCACTAGGTTTGTCTGTCCACTAGGTTTGTCTGTCCACAAGGTTTGTCTCTCCACTAGGTTTGTCTGTCCACTAGGTTTGTCTATCCACTAGGTTTGTCTATCCACTAGGTTTGTCTGTCCACTAGGTTTGTCTGTCCACTAGGTTTGTCTCTCCACTAGGTTTTTCTGTCCACTAGGTTTGTCTGTCCACTAGGTTTGTCTGACCACTAGGTTTGTCTGTCCACTAGGTTTGTCTGTCCACTAGGTTTGTCTGTCCCCTAGGTTTGTCTGTCCACTAGATTTGTCTGTCCACTAGGTTTGTCTGTCCACTAGGTTTGTCTTTTGTCTGTCCACTAGGTGCGTCTGTCCCCTATGTTTGTCTGTCCACTAGGTTTGTCTGTCCACTAGGTTTGTCTTTTGTCTGTCCACTGGGTTTGTCTGTCCACTAGGTTTGTCTGTCCACTAGGTTTGTCTGACCACTAGGTTTGTCTGTCCACTAGGTTTGTCTGTCCACTAGGTTAGTCTGTCCACTAGGTTTGTCTGTCCACTAGGATTGTCTCTCCACTAGGTTTGTCTGTCCACTAGGTTTGTCTGTCCACTAGGTTTGTCATTCCACTAGGTTTGTCTGACCACTAGGTTTGTCTGACCACTAGGTTTGTCTGTCCACTAGGTTTGTCTGTCCACTAGGTTTGTCTCTCCACTAGGTTTGTCTGACCACTAGGTTTGTCTGTCCACTAGGTTTGTCTGACCACTAGGTTTGTCTGTCCACTAAGTTTGTCTGTCCACTAGGTTTGTCTGTCTACTAGGTTTGTCTGACCACTAGGTTTGTCTGTCCACTAGGTTTGTCTGTCCACTAGGTTTGTCCACTAGGTTTGTCTGACCACAAGGTTTGTCTGTCCACTAGGTTTGTCCATTAGGTTTGTCTGTCCACTAGGTTTGTCTGACCACTAGGTTTGTCTGTCCACTAGGTTTGTCTGTCCACTAGGTTTGTCTGACCACTAGGTTTGTCTGTCCACTAGGTTTGTCTGTCCACTAGGTTTGTCTGTCCACAAGGTTTGTCTCTCCACTAGGTTTGTCTGTCCACTAGGTTTGTCTATCCACTAGGTTTGTCTATCCACTAGGTTTGTCTGTCCACTAGGTTTGTCTGTCCACTAGGTTTGTCTCTCCACTAGGTTTTTCTGTCCACTAGGTTTGTCTGTCCACTAGGTTTGTCTGACCACTAGGTTTGTCTGTCCACTAGGTTTGTCTGTCCACTAGGTTTGTCTGTCCCCTAGGTTTGTCTGTCCACTAGATTTGTCTGTCCACTAGGTTTGTCTGTCCACTAGGTTTGTCTTTTGTCTGTCCACTAGGTGCGTCTGTCCCCTATGTTTGTCTGTCCACTAGGTTTGTCTGTCCACTAGGTTTGTCTTTTGTCTGTCCACTGGGTTTGTCTGTCCACTAGGTTTGTCTGTCCACTAGGTTTGTCTGACCACTAGGTTTGTCTGTCCACTAGGTTTGTCTGTCCACTAGGTTAGTCTGTCCACTAGGTTTGTCTGTCCACTAGGATTGTCTCTCCACTAGGTTTGTCTGTCCACTAGGTTTGTCTGTCCACTAGGTTTGTCATTCCACTAGGTTTGTCTGACCACTAGGTTTGTCTGACCACTAGGTTTGTCTGTCCACTAGGTTTGTCTGTCCACTAGGTTTGTCTCTCCACTAGGTTTGTCTGTCCACTAGGTTTGTCTGTCCACTAGGTTTGTCTGACCACTAGGTTTGTCTGTCCACTAAGTTTGTCTGTCCACTAGGTTTGTCTGTCTACTAGGTTTGTCTGACCACTAGGTTTGTCTGTCCACTAGGTTTGTCTGTCCACTAGGTTTGTCCACTAGGTTTGTCTGACCACAAGGTTTGTCTGTCCACTAGGTTTGTCCATTAGGTTTGTCTGTCCACTAGGTTTGTCTGACCACTAGGTTTGTCTGTCCACTAGGTTTGTCTGTCCACTAGGTTTGTCTGACCACTAGGTTTGTCTGTCCACTAGGTTTGTCTGTCCACTAGGTTTGTCTGTCCACAAGGTTTGTCTCTCCACTAGGTTTGTCTGTCCACTAGGTTTGTCCACTAGGTTTGTCTGTCCACTAGGTTTGTCTGTCCACTAGGTTTGTCTGTCCACTAGGTTTGTCTCTCCACTAGGTTTTTCTGTCCACTAGGTTTGTCTGACCACTAGGTTTGTCTGTCCACTAGGTTTGTCTGTCCACTAGGTTTGTCTGACCACTAGGTTTGTCTGACCACTAGGTTTGTCCACTAGGTTTGTCTGTCCACTAGGTTTGTCTGACCACTAGGTTTGTCTGTCCACTAGGTTTGTCTGTCCACTAGGTTTGTCTGTCCCCTAGGTTTGTCTGTCCACTAGGTTTGTCTGTCCACTAGGTTTGTCTGTCCACTAGGTGCGTCTGTCCCCTATGTTTGTCTGTCCACTAGGTTTGTCTGTCCACTAGGTTTGTCTTTTGTCTGTCCACTGGGTTTGTCTGTCCACTAGGTTTGTCTGTCCACTAGGTTTGTCTGACCACTAGGTTTGTCTGTCCACTAGGTTTGTCTGTCCACTAGGTTTGTCTGTCCACTAGGTTTGTCTGTCCACTAGGTTTGTCTTTCCACTAGGTTTGTCTGACCACTAGGTTTGTCTGTCCACTAGGTTTGTCTGTCCACTAGGTTTGTCTGTCCACTAGGTTTGTCTGTCCACTAGGTTTGTCTGTCCACTAGGTTTGTCTGTCCACTAGGTTTGTCTGACCACTAGGTTTGTCTGTCCACTAGGTTTGTCTGTCCACTAGGTTTGTCTGTCCACTAGGTTTGTCTGTCCACTAGCTTTGTCTGTTCACTAGTTTTGTCTGTCTACTAGGTTTGTCTGACCACTAGGTTTGTCTGTCCACTAGGTTTGTCTGTCCACTAGGTTTGTCTGTCCACTAGGTTTGTCTGTCCACTAGCTTTGTCTGTCCATTAGTTTTGTCTGTCTACTAGGTTTGTCTGACCACTAGGTTTGTCTGTCCACTAGGTTTGTCTGACCACTGGGTTTGTCTGTCCACTAGGTTTGTCTGTCCACTAGGTTTGTCTGTCCTTCTGTCCATTCTGTTATTATTGGGTTGTTATTATTTTTGTTATATTGCGTTAAATATGACTGTCGGACAGATCAAAGCATAACATTGTAAAAGAATCGGTTAAGTCTAAATACAGGTGGTATTAAATTCTTTTTTGCTGACGGTATGATTCTGTGTGTGAGTTTTGTTTTTACTTTCTCGTATATACGAAGTATAGAGAAAGTCTTGTAATCGTGCAAAAAAAAAAAATCGAGATTTTTGCAAATCTCGACGTTTTGCATCTCACTGATACGGAAAAACATAATTTTGCAATCTTGTCCGTATGTCTGTGTGTCTGTGTGTGTGTGTGTCTGTGTGTGTGTGTCCGTGTGTAAACACGATAACTTGAGTACCGTTACAGCTAGGTTGATGAAATTTCATATATAAGTATTTTATCAAAATCGTAGATCCGTATCAACTTTTGAGCGATTTCCGACAACCGGAAGTGGTACTTTTTCTACTTTGAATTTTTCAAAAGCCTATAACTTGAGTACTATTTCAGATAGATAAATGAAATTTCACATGTAAGTAAAAGATCTAATTCTCTACCTTCTGTTAAATTTTGAGTAATTTCCGTTGACCGGAAGTAGTAATTTACGCTACTTCCGATTTCTCAAAAAACTAATGTAAATTTTTAAAGTACTAATAATATTGCGCACTATTATGCGCTTTTTTATTCGCGTTCACTTGGTGTGCAATTAATTTGTCTACGAGATTTTATTCTATTTTTAAAACTTTAAGTATTTAAAATGGATTAAAAATCATGTCTATAGCCCGAGTTCCCATCCCCTGTTATTTTATATAAGAATATTCGAGAAAGTTTAGGGGAGATCACTCCCGGTTTATTTTGTTTGTTAGAGTGTTAAATGTCTAATATGAAAGTGATGGGGCGTTCAATGAAAATGGTATTTGACATGTAGTGGTAGATGGTGAATTTAATGTTGCCCTGTTATCTTTTTAAAAGTTTTTTGCAATGTATTTGGCAAGCTTGCCTGCAAGATCAACATGGGCGATCACTCTTGTTATGTTTAGGATGGGTCATCGTTCATATCATCCTAAAATAAAATAACCCATCCTAAAAATAACAAGAGTGATAGCCTATGGCGATCTTGAAGGCAAGCTTGCCATATACATTGGTTGGGTTACTAGTTAACAAAAATAGTAATATTAGTAAATTCACCATTAATTAAGTGAATACTGCATTCGGTCGATAGCAGTATTCACTTAATTAATTGTACAATCACTAACTAATATTGCGATTTGTTAACTTACTGTGTGTGGAAAAATGGTAAAAGTATTCAAAATTGTATGTGCTGGTAAACAGATTCAAATTAGTATCAAGGCTAATTCAAATCTTTATGGATATTTAAACTGTTAAAGAATTTCTTATTATGTAAGAATATTTCAAATTCTATTTTATGATTTTGTTAAACTTGTTAAGAAAAATTCACATTATGTAAACTAATTTAAAATGTATCGTTTCTCTAACTGAAAACGAGATCGCATTTCGACTTTTTAAAAATCTGTCCACAGAATGTCCTGTAGGGTTGTGGGACTTCAACTGCGACAAGACCTGTCTGACATGCAGCCCAGATTGTGACAAGTTCAGCGGCTCTTGCGAATCATGTGTTGCCGGATATAAATTTCCGGAATCCGGATGCGATACAGGTGGGGTTGAATTTTTTTTCATGAACGTTCTCTTTTTTTTTTTTGTTTAATTTTGTTGTCACGATGCACGGGAGCTTAAAGTTGTAAGTATGGGGAGATTATGGGTGATGCAGTGATTGGGAGCTTAGGGTTATTACAGTGATATAGAGCTTTGTGTTGTTGTATGGAGTTTAGTAGCTTTAATAGAGAGCTTAGGGATGTTACAGTAATAGGGATGTTATAGTTATAGGGATGTTATAGTTATAGGGATGTTATAGTTATAGGGATGTTACAGTTATAGGGATGTTACAGTTACAGGGATGTTACAGTTATAGGGATGTTACAGTTATAGGGATGTTACAGTTACAGGGATGTTACAGTTACAGGGATGTTACAGTTATAGGGATGTTACAGTTATAGGGATGTTACAGTTATAGGGATGTTACAGTTATAGGGATGTTACAGTTACAGGGATGTTACAGTTATAGGGATGTTACAGTTATAGGGATGTTACAGT